GATGCTGATGATGCAGTTGATAATGATGGTGGTGATGGTGGTGATGATGCTGATGATGTTGATGTTGATGATGCTGATGCTGATGACGATGACGATGAGGATGACGATGGTGATCGATGATGCTGTGGATGATGCTGATGCTGATGATGATGATGCTGATGATGATGCTGCTGAAGATGCTGATGATGCAGTTGATAATGATGGTGGTGATGATGGTGATGATGCTGATGATGTTGATGTTGATGTTGATGTTGATGATGCTGATGATGATGCTGATGATGTTGATGACGCTGGCAATGATGATGATGATGACGATGATGATGATGATGATGCAGTTGATAATGATGGTGGTGATGATGGTGATGATGCTGATGATGTTGATGTTGATGTTGATGATGCTGATGATGATGCTGATGATGTTGATGATGCTGGCAATGATGATGATGACGTTGATGATGATGATGATGATGATGATGATGATGATGATGATGATGATGATGATGATGATGATGATGATGATGATGATGATGATGATGATGATGATGATGATGATGATGATGATGCTAATGATGATTCCTCTCGCTTCGCGGGGTGCACGTCCGGAGCACGTACAGTCCAGTCGTTCCAGAGTGTCCTGGGAGCTCTTTGGGGTCTTGTGGAGCCCAGTCGTTGCCGGACTGCAGGGGATCTCTGGGGGGGCCTCTGGGCTGCGCTTTCTGGGCGTCTGTGGGGTTCTCTTGGGAGCTTCCTGGGGCCCTTCTTGCGCGTCTTGGGCTGTTTTGGGGCGCTCTGTGCCTCTGCTACCCCTCCCTCCCGCCTCCCGCCATCCCTCCTTTTCCTCCTCCCCTCCCCCTCCTCCCTTCCAGCGCTGGCTCTGATCACGGACGCCGCCGTGACCAATTTCCATCTGGCTGGCGCTGCGCCGCGGTTCGCCCAGGGCGGGATATTATTGTTTAGTGACTCACCGAGGGTGTTTCAGAGCACGTTCAGTCCAGTCGTTGTGGGGCCTCGAGCTTCTTGAAAGCTTCTTATGGGCTTTTTGGAGCCTCTGGGGGGCCTCTTTGGAGCCTCTTGGGGCCTCTTGGGGACGTTTTGGGCCGTCTTTGGGCGCTCTTACGCCGTCTGGCCACTTCGGGGGCCACTTTGGAAGCCTCTCGCGGCCGCCTTGGGGCTCTCTTGGGGTCCTCTGGGGCCGTCTTGGAGGCTTTTTGGGCAGTCTTGGAAGTTTTTGTTGGCCATTTCGGGGCCCTCTTGGGCCGTCTTGGGGCCCCCTCGGAGGCCTCTTGGGCCGTTTGGGGGCCTTCTTGGAGGCTGCTTGGGCCGTCATGGCCTTCTGAGAGCCGAAAAAGGCGAGAATGTTGAAATTGTCCCAGAACTACAGGAAAATCAAGGATTTTGGCCTCCGGAGGCGCTCTCGGGAGTCTTCTTGGGGGCCTCTTGGACTTTCTTGGGGGCCTCATGGGCCCTCTTGGGGCCATCGCGGGCCGTCTTGGGCTGTCTTGGGGCCATCTTGGGCCGTCTTGAAACCTTTTTGGGGCCCCGAGAGGCCCAAGAGGCCGAATTTGTTGATTTCTAATGGTTTTTGTCGGTGTTTGGGCCCCAGAAGGGGCCCTCCACCTTTGGGTCGACGGAAGTGGCGCGATTCCGGGGGGGGGGGTAGGGGGAGAGATAACAATGTAACACAATGCAATCAGTAGCAAGTACGCAATCATTGGATACATGGGATACGTTGCATTAGGGCTTCCGCTCCGCTCCGTGACCTGCCTCCGGCAACACGTCACTTCCGGACGTGGATTATATAGGCTTACGCCACATCCGCCGGCGCTCGACATCGTTCCTGTTGCTTCGTTGCTGTTATCGTATCTCTTGGTGCTCTTGTGTGGCCTTTTGGTGGCATCTTGGCCTGTCTGGAGGCCATATCCGGCCGCCTCGAGGCATCTTGGGCCGAGTTTTGGGGCCTCTTGGGGGCTTCCTGGGGGCTTCTTGGAGGCCTTTGCGGTTCTCTTGTGGGTCCCTCAGGGCCTCTTGCGCTGTTCTTGGGGCGCGCTGGGGGCGTCTTGGGGCCGAAGGCTCGAAAGGTGCCCTCTGGATTTCGTCTTGGAGCCGTCTGGGGGCCCTCTTGGGCTGTCTTGGGGGCTTCGTGGGCTGTTGTTGGACCCTCTTCGACCCTTCTTGGGGGCCCCTTTGGCCGTCTGGGGGCGATATTGAAGGTTTCTTTGCCCGTCTGGAACGTTGTGAACACCGAATAGGCGAGCATGCGAAACATGCTGCTTTTTCAAAGGGAATTGGACGATTTTTGTTTCTTTGGGACCCTCTTGGGGCGCATCTTAGGGGGCCTTTTGGGGCGTCTTGGCAGCTTCGGAGGCCGCCTGGAGGCCATTGTGGGCGTCCAGGGCGATACACTTCGACGAATCGTGGCCCCTGGGACCGTCTGGGGAGCGTTTTGGTGCCTTCTTGGCCAGTTTTGGAGCCCTCCGCTCCCCCGTGACGCGTTCGATCCGGGGTCAGGCTGGGCGAGGGGGGGGGGTCGAATTGCCGGTTTGGGGCCCCTGCGGGGGGATTGCGGGGCGGGATAGTCTCACATGCCTAGAGACCCACAAGGGTCGGCGGATTATGGTGGTGGTCGTGGTGGTGATGATGATGATGCTGATGCAGATGCTGATGCTCATGCTCATGCTCATGCTGATGATTATGTTGTTGATGATGATGCTGGGTATCATGCTGATGATGATGATGATGGTGACGTTGATGCTAATGACGCTGATTATGATGATGATGATGATGATGATGATGATGATGATGATGATGATGATGATGACGCTGCTGCTGCTGATGATGATGATGACGGCTGCTGGTAATGATGAGGATGTTGATGGTGATGGTGATGGTGATGGTGATATTGGTGACGATGATGCTTATGATGAGGATGCTGATGCTGCTGATGATGCTGATGCTGGTGATGCTGAGACGTATGATGATGTTAATGATGATGCTAATGATGATGCTGATGATGATGCTGCTAATGATGATAACGATGAGAATGAGGATGACGAGCGTAATCGATGATGCTGCGAACGATGTTGATGATGATGTTGATGATGTTGACGATGATGTTGATGATGATGGTGATGGTGATGATGCTGATGATGATGATGTTGATGATGATGCTGCTGATGGCGAGTCGGATGTTGATGACGAGGATGGGGATGCTGATAATGATGTTGATGCCGATGTTGATGATGCTGCTGATGATGCAGATGATGGTGCTGATGGTGGTGGTGATGATTATGGTGGTGATGATGATGCTGGTGATGGTGGAGGTGAAGGAGGTGATGCTGATGATATTGAGGATGATGGTGATGATGATGAAGCTGATGATGATGATGATGTTGGTGATGATGATGATGATGATGATGATGATGATGCTGATGCTGATGCTGATGCTGATGATGATGCTGATGATGATGATGCTGATGATGATGCTGCTGATGATGATGATGATGATGCTGATGATGATGATGATGCTGCTGCTGATGATGCTGCTGATGCTGATTCCGATGCTCGTGATCATGCTGCTGCTGCTGCTGACGATGCTGATGATGCTGATGATGATGATGATGATGATGATGAGGAGGAGGAGGAGGAGGAGGAGGAGGAGGAGGAGGAAGAGGGGGAGGGGGAGGAGGAGGAAGACGGAGGAGAAGAAGGAGGAGGAGGCGGAGGAGGAGGGAGGAGGCGGAGGAGGAGGAGGAGGAGGAGGAGAAAAACGAGGCGGAGGAGGCGAACGAGGAGGAGGAGGAGGACGTGGAGGTGGATGACAAGCATCTGGAGCAAGACGAGTTGCAGGACTGGGCAGGAGGACCAGCATGAGGGGCAGCATGCGGAGCATGAGGAGCTGGATTTGGCAGGAGGAGGAGGGACAGGAGGAGGAGAGGAGGGAGGAGGAGGAGGGAGGAGGAGGAGGAGGGAGGAGGAGGAGGAGGAGGAGGAGCAGAGGAGGAGGAGGAGGAGCAGGAGGAGGAGAGGAGGAGGAGAGGAGCAGGAGGAGGAGGAGGAGCAGGAGCAGGAGGAGGAGGGAGCAGGAGGACCAGGGAGGACCCGTGAGGAGGAGGAGGAGGAGGAGCAGCAGCAGCAGCAGCAGCAGCAGCGGAGGAGGAGGAGGAGGAGGAGGAGGAGGAGGAGGAGGAGGAGGAGGAGGAGGAGGAGGGAGAGATCCCTGGATGGCTGCAGAGGCCCTGGGAAGCCTCAGAAAATGCAGCCACGCGTCCCCGCCCTCGACCCTCGACCCGCCTCCTCCTGCTCGAGGAGGTGCTGTTCACGATTCGATCGCCTCCACACGTGGCACGCGTGCCCTGGCTGTAGCACGATCAGGTCGCGATGGGGACTGGGGCGAGGGCCAGAGGTAGGCCAGGGGAGGGGGGACGAACGACGACCACGACGGAGGTGGAGGGCTCCGAGCTCCTTGAGCACCGCGGTGCAGTAGAGTCAGCGGTTCCGCGGCCCAGGGGGGCTGGTGGGCGGGGAGGGCAGGGGGGGAGGCCAGCCAGGGAGGCGCCACAGGGGGGAGGGGAGGACGGACGACCAGGGGGGGCTCCCGGCCAGGCCTACTGGGCCGGGGGGAGGCCAGGGAGACCATGGGGGAGGGACGAGCGACTGCTAGGAACGACCACGACGAACATAACATGTTCCGCGGCTCAAGGGGGCACGCAGCCCTGGGATGCCAGGACCCTTCCCCCCCTGGCCTCCCTTGCCTCCCCACTTTGTTACCATCCAGAGAGCGCCCAGTGGCAGGGGGGGAGACGACGAGCGGGGGGGGAGGGGAGAGGGAGAGGGGGAGGCGCGCGCGCGGCCCGCGCGCGCGCGCTCAGCCGCCCGCCGGGCCCGCGCGGCGCCGGGGGGGCGGCAGAGTCGCCGCCGCGCTCGGCCTCCGCAGAGGCCAGCAGCCGCGGGCGCGCCAGCGCGAGCGGAGCTCAGCGCCCGGCGCGGGCTGGCGGCCCTAGGCCGGCTCGGCGGGCCGGGCCGGCCCGGCGGCCTCGGCAGCTGCCTGCGACTGCCTGCCCCTCGCGGTGGCCGCCGCCGCGTCCCGCGCGACCACCCCCGCGGTGGCCTCCAGGAGCGCCCGCCGAGCCTCCCGGAGGCAGCGGCCGTGCAGGCGCACCCCCAATGTCGGGGCCAGCTCGCGCGCAGCGGCCCAGGCGCGCGCGTCCAGGTGGCCGCGGACTGCCCCGAGTTGCTCGTCGCGAGCTAACTCCAGGGCAGCCTCGTCGCCTCCTCCGGGGGCGGCGCCGTCGGGGGGCGCCCCCGGCCCCACGCTGGGGCCTGGCGCCGCGGCCGGCCCCAGGGCCCAAGCCGGCGCCTGCTTCAGCTCGCCGGCTGCTGCCTGCGCGCCGTCGTCGTCGCCCTCGGTGTCGTCCTCGGCGTCGGCCCAGCTCTCCCTCTGCCTCGCGGGCAGCCCGGCTGCCCGCGGCGCGCCCTGCTGCCGCGGCGGCGGCGCCGCCGCGGTCTGGGCAGGCGGGGCCGAGCCCGCGCGGGGGCGGGCCCGCGGCGTGGAGGCGGGAGGAGGCGCCGAACCCACACTTGGCCGCCGAACCCTTTCTTTTCGTCGTGGTCGTTTGGCCTCCCCCACCCCCCTGGCTCCCCTGGCCCCCCCCCCAACCAGGGCCACGAAACCCTTTATTTTCGTCGTGGTCGTTCGGCTCCCCCCTCCCCCTCCGCCCCCCCTCCACCCCCTCTGGCCTCCTTGGCCTCCCCCGACCTGGGCCGCCGAACCCTTTGCTTTCGTCGTGGTCGTTCGGCTTCCCCCCCGCCCCACCCCCGGGGAGGCCAAGGGGAAGGCCGAACGAGGATGGGGGGGCCAGAGAAGCCACCGCCAGGGGGGGTGGGGCGCAAGGGGGCGCCCGCAGCCCGGGGTGGGGAGGCCAAAGCGGCGAGGAAGGGGAGGAACGACCACGACGAACGGCGGGGACGCTTAGAAATGGTTCCGCGGCCCAGGGGGGTGGACGGAGGCCGGAGGCGAGGAGGCCGGGGGAGTTGGGACGGACGAGCGACCACGACGAAACCTAGCCTGGTGAAGGACCCAACCATACGCAGTTGTGAGTACTGTCGTTCGGGTATCGCCTTGGGGCCATGAAGCACGCGAGGGGGATGTGCCGACAAAGGCCGGGGCCGCTATGTGGGCGCTGCCACGGGGGCTGTAGGTGGAACCCACTATGGTGCCACGAAACGTGCGAAGGGTGCGCCGCAATGGGGCGGGGCCGCCATTGGGGCCGTCGGTGGGACTCCCTATGGGGCCACGAAGCGCTGTAATGAGCGAGGGAGATGCATGCGAACAGCGCCAGCTTATAGGGGGGCCACGAAGCGCTGCAGTGTGGGGGGGCGGCGCATGCGAAAGCCGCCACCGAGGCCTTGGGTGGAGCTCACTATGGGGCCACGAAACGCTGTACTGGGTGGGGGAGACGCATGCGAACACCGCCACTCAGGCCGTCGGTGCAGCCCCTTTATGAGGCCACGAAGCGCTGCACTGGGCGGGGGGAACCGCATGCGAACTCCGCCACAGAGGCCTTTGGTGGAGCTCCCTATGGAGCCACGGAGCGCTGTACTGGGTGGGGGTGACGAATGCAGGCTGTGCCACTGGGGCCTTCGGTGGAGCTCTCTATGGGGCCACGAGGCGCTGTACTGGGTGAGGGTGACGCATGTTGGCGGTGCCACTGGGGCCTTCGGTGGAGCTCCCTATGGGGCCACGCGACGCTGTACTGGGTGGGGGGGGGCCGCATGCGGGCGGTGCCACTGGGGCCTTCGGTGGAGCTCTCTATGGGGCCACGAAGCGCTGTACTGCGTGGGGGAACCGCATGTTGATGAGGGCAGAGGCAAAGATGGGGAGGAGGGGGGAAGGAGGAAGGAGTGAGGGACGTGAGGCGCTGTCTCTTCAATTATAGCCGGAGTGCAGTATCCCCAAACAGGGTTTTTAGACCCACTGCGGTTTCCAAGGTCGATTGCGTGCCCGCCTAGTGCGGGCTGGCATGGCATGTTAAAACATGCCTCCTCCTCCTCCTCCTCCTCCTCCTCCTCGTCCACCTCCTCTTCATCCCGAAAGGCATCTCGGAACCCAGAGTTGCGAGGATGTCTCCAGCGTAACGGGCTGGACCACCTCGCGCGCGGCATTTCGGACCCCAGAGTTGCGACGATGTCTCGGGCGAAACGTGCTGCGAGGAAGTCTCAGGCGAAACGGGCCGGACCACCTCGAGCGCGGCGTCTCAGAGCTCCGAGTTGCGGGGGCCTCCTGGTGCCTCCTGGGGCCTCCTGGGGACCTCCTGGGGCTTCCTCCCGGGCCTCCTGTGGCCTCCTGAACTCCACCTGAGGTTTCCTGAAGCATCTTGGGGCTCCCAGGGGGGATATCTAACCTGTGGCCGTTTGGGCCTCTCCAAATACAGGGGGGGGCCACAGGAGCAGGAAAAATCAACGAATCGACACCGGATGTGTATTAACTTGACACGTTCTGATAGAGGGCCTCCTGGGGCCTCCTGGGAGCCTCCTGGGAATCTCCTGCGGACCCCTGGGGCCTGTCCTGGGCGTCCTGCGGCCTCCTGAAGCTCTCTGGGACCTCCCCCTCCTCCTGCCTGCTCCCTCATGCACATCATCCGCCTCCTCCTTCTCCCTTCCATCTCCTCCTCCTCCTCCTCCTCCTCCTTCTCCTCCTCCTCCTCCTCCTCCTCCTCCTCCTCCTCCTCCTCCACCTCCTCTTCATCGCGAACGGCATTTCGGAGCCTAGAGTTGCGAGGATGTCTCCAGCGTAACGGGCTGGACCACCTCGCGCGCGGCATTTCGGACCCCAGAGTTGCGACGATGTCTCGGGCGAAACGTGCTGCGAGGAAGTCTCAGCGAAACGGGCTGGACCACCTCGAGCGCGGCGTCTCAGAGCTCCGAGTTGCGGGGGCCTCCTGGGGACCTCCTGGAGCTTCCTCCTGGGCCTCCTGTGGCCTCGTGAACTCCACCTGGGGTTTCCTGAAGCCTCTTGGGGCTCCCAGGGGGGATATCTAACCTGTGGCCGTTTGGGCCTCTCCAAATGGAGGGGGGGGGGGGCACAAGAGCAGGAAAAATCAACGAATCGACACCGGATGTGTATTAACTTGACACGTTCTGATAAGCGGCCTCCTGGGGCCTCCTGGGAGCCTCCTGGGAATCTCCTGGAGACCCCTGGGGCCTGTCCTGGGCGTCCTGCGGCCTCCTGGTGCCTCCTGGGCCTCCTGGGGACCTCCTGGAGCTTCCTCCTGGGCCTCCTGTGGCCTCCTGAACTCCACCTGAGGTTTCCTGAAGCATCTTGGGGCTCCCAGGGGGAATATCTAACCTGTGGCCGCTTGGGCCTCTCCAAATGGAGGGGGGGGCACAAGAGCAGGAAAAATCAGCGAATCGACACCGGATGTGTATTAACTTGACACGTTCTGATAGAGGGCCTCCTGGGGCCTCCTGGGAATCTCCTGGGGGCCCCCGGGGCCTGTCCTGGGCGTCCTGCGGCCTCCTGGACCTCTCTGGGGCCTCCTGAGGCTCGCAGGGTCCCATGGAGGATATGTAACATGTGGCCTTCTGGGCCCCCAGGCTGGACCACCTCTTGCGCAGCATCTGAGAGCTCAGAGTTGCGAGAATATCTTGTGCGAAACAGGCCGGACCACCTTGCGCACGGCATCTCAGATCTCAGAGTTGCAAAGATTTCTCAGGCGAGACGGGCCGGACCACCTCGCGCAGGGCATCTCAGAGCTCAGAAGTTCGAGGATGTCTCAGGCGAAACGGGCCGGACCACCTCGCGCGCGGCATCGGGGAGATCAGAGTTTCGAGGATGTCTCAGGCGAAACAGCCGGACCACCTCGCGCGCGGCATCTTGGAGCTCAGAGTTGCGAGGATGTCTCAGGCGAAACGGCCCGGACCACCTCTCGCGCGGCATCTGGGAGCTCAGAGTTTCGAGGATGTCTCAAGCGAAACGGCCCGGACCACCTCTCGCGCGGCCTCTCAGAGCTCAGATTTAGGAGGATGTCTCAGGCGAAACGCTCAATCCCGGACAACTCAGAAACGAGAGTTGTGAGGATGTCTCAGGCGAAACTGGCCGGACCACCACATTTGTTTGAGGATGTCTCTGCTTAGCTTTCCCTCGGCCGGAATCAGCGTCTATCACAACAGCACCCCGTTCAGCAAGCTGTTTGGGGAACAACTTCAAATATAGAATCTTGGTTGGCTGAGATGTAGACAGATACAAATATGCATAGAGAGGTACATCGATAGATGGGTACAGGCACGGGCAGGCGCGTGCTTCTGCGCGCTCGACCTCGCAGACAAAGTCGGAGGCATAGGCCCAGGCTCTGCCAGGCCTAGGTGGGCCGATGCTTCGCGAAGTGCCAGCTCTGAGTCGATTCGATTCGGCGCAGCGGTAGCACTGGGGGATCGGCGCGGTGTCACCATCATCACCGTCACCGCCATCACCGCAATTACCGCCATGGCCACCACGACCACTCACCACCATGGAACGATATATAGGTAGGTATATATGGATATGCATATATATATATATATATACGGATCGATCGGTTGATCGATGGATTGATTGATTGACTGATCGAATTGGTAGATCGATAGACTGGTCGATCCATATATACATTTGTATCTATATATATATATATATATATATTGACAGCTGCAAGCTGGAGTAGGTGGTATGTATTTACCTGCGCACTCTTTGTTGGCGGTAGGCGGGGCCCATCGCAAATCTACCGCCCCCCTACCCCCGCCCGACTTCCTTATCGACCGAAGGTTGGTCCAATCGGTATTGTTAGTGTTCTCCGTTTACCTTTCCCCCTCAGGTGGTGATCGTCCTGGTGGTGGCCGTGGCCAACTGGCCTCCCTGGATGATCGAGGACTGGGGCCCGGGCAGAAGCTCAGCATCGCCTATCCTATCCCCATCCCCACCTAGGCCCCGCCAGCCCACCCTCTTGGGGGTCCGCGGACGGCTTTCCCGCCAGCGCTGGAGACCCGTCCCTCGACGGGAGAAGACAGGGACCACCTCAGCGGCAGCGCCAGGGGGGGCCGGGGACTGGCTCAGGGGAGGAAGGCCCGACCCCTTGCTGATCGCCGATGGTAGAATTGATAGCCAGCCCCGCCCAGGATCGTGCGCATTTGCCACCGGGGGCCTAACCGCCATTTTATCGGCGATGCAACGCCGATTCAAGTTCGATGCCTCTCACCCTGAGCTGGTTCCCCGCCAACGTTGACCCTCGACCGGGGTGGCCCCGCGACCGAGAAACCCTCGTGGGGGTGGGGGTGCGACCTCGTGGCGATTTCGTGGACAGTTTGTCGCTTTCATCTCGTTTTGCATCAAAGGCGGAACACACGCAAAACGAGGGAACACGGACACAGCACGAAGACGGAACATACCCGTGGGGGCTTATTAGGACGCACCTTTCTATCGAGAGTGGGGGTGCCCCGTCGTGCGCCCCCGGCTTGCACTCCCGATCACCACCCCCCGGCTTGCACTCCCGTCGTGCATCCTTCTTCTTTTCTTGGCCCAGCGACTACCCTACAAAGTTGCCAGGCTGGGCCCTGACATGGCTGGTGGAGGTGCGTGGTTGGCGCTGTCTGCCCCCATAGAGGACGACGACGCGAGAGCCCAGGTCCTCACAGCCCTCTTCGTGGTCGGGCTCTTCGTCGTGGCCCTGGAGGACTTCGGGCGGGGCTGGGACTGGGATGAGTCGTTCTAGAGTGTTCGAGAACGCTCTCAGAGCGTTCGGGAGCGCTCTGGAACGGACGCGCTCGAGAGCGTTCGGGAGTGCGTTCGGGATCCCAGTGATCCCCGGTTTATCTAGATCCCATGGCTTGCCTGTCTTGGCGTAGTGTCAGGATTTCTTGGACGTCAACAAGTCCTCCGTCATGCTCATCATGTCGGCGACCATGTGGGCGTTCCTGGCAGTTGGGTACCACCCGACCAGGTCGGAGGCGGCTCTGCCTGCCCGAGCCACGGGCATTCGTTTACTCCTCATTATTTCGCTATTGCTCTTACTCTTGCTTCCTATCTCCCTCTCTCACTCTCTCTCACTCTCTCTCTCTTCGTTTACGTGTCTGTGTGTGAGGGAGTGTGCCTTTCTACGCCAATCCGCCGAGCGCCTGGCCGCGACGCAACAAAGTGTGTGAGTTTGTGTTTATGTGTGTGTGTGTGTGGGGGGTCTGTGTGTGTGTGTGTGGGGGTGCGTGCGTGCGTGCGTGCGTGCGTGCGTGTGTGTGTGTGTGTGTGTGTGTGTGTGTGTGTGTGCGTGTGCGTGTGCGTGTGTGTACGTATGTGTAAGTGTGTGTGTGTGCCGTGGGTGGGTAAGGTGTGCAAAGATGAGTATGACGGGGTGGGGGATGTGGACGAGAAGTTGAAGGAGGAGGAAGAGCATGAGTATAGAGCTCCAAAGCAACATTTTCCACGATATCGAAGCTCGAGACGAGCGAGGTAGCGCGAGCAAGTGGAAGCAGGACCTGCCTCAGGTCGGAGTTGCCTGGCCTTTTGTAGGTGATGGCTCTGGGCCACGGGTGTGGAGGGATAGGTGGAGGGAGAGGGAGAGGGGGATGAGGAGGGTGAGGAGGGCCAGAGTAAATCCAAGATGCTTCAACGATGCTGCAACCACAGCCCGGTCTTCACAAGTCCCCGCAAACCTTTTCTCCACTACCAAAACCGCCCTCTTGAAAGGTGAGCGCCCGATGGGTCTGCCATTCACGTTTAGAAACGGAATTGCATTGTATCGTTCTAGCGATCAGGAAACCGCATTCATATAGTTCAGCGATGTATTCAATGAGATCCCCGTTTTGACATAGGGATCACTCCTACATCGGTTTCGCTCAAGTTTGCAGTTCCGGCCATCAAGTTCACATTTTGGAAAATAAACCTCCCTCCATCCGTGCAGTTGTGACATATGTCAAATCTTTTTAAGTTGTATGTGGAAGCCCAACGTTAAAAACGAGCCGCTCTCCATCTGTGCAGCGGTTACGTATGTTAAAGCGTCTGGCCACTGAACCTTAGGGTCTCAAGCGATAGACCTATGTTGAACAGCAACTGCCCGGCACACCTGTACCTGTAGCAAGCATGAGCGCGGAGCTTGGGCGACAGCTCAAATTCGAAACAGATCTTCCCTCTATCGTTGAAGCTGTCGCATACTTTTCAGAAGAGTCTGCGCGGCGCTTTGAGGATCACTTCATTTTGACACTGACTTGTGTTGCATCATTGAAGCTGTTACAGAAGTCAGGACGAAGGTGCGTGGCGCTAAGGCGATAAACCCATTTTGAAAACCACCTTGTCCATTCTCGAATCGAAGGAACGTTCCAACGAAATGGCATCTTCTGAGGGGGTCGCAAGTGAGGCCAATATTTAATCGTAGCATCCACCTACGCTTGTAAGTGTGGCGCAAACTTGGGGCGAGTGTGCGCGGAGCTGAGGCGACCATAAATTTTGAAATGTATTCGCCTTTCACTCTTGTGACTGCTTCCGAATGTAAGGACGAATGTGCGCGTAGCTAAGGAGGAGGAGGAGGAGGAGCTGTAGGATGAGGAGGAGGAGGGGGAAGGAGCAGGTGGAGGAGGAGAGAGGAGTGAGGAGTGAGGATTGAGAAGTGAGAAAAGGAGGAGGAAGAGTAGGTGGAGGAGGAGGGGGAGGAGGAGGAGGAGGATTGACAAGCCATGACACAAGCACAACAGTGCGCGCGAAGTTATGGTGGGCATGTGCTGTCTTCTCTGAGGCGAGTGAGTACGTGTTGGGGAGAGTGATGCGTCCCGTGGATGGACTCCAAGTGCAACCAGCTCTAGCCATAGAAGGGCGAGGAGGAGGAGGACGAGGACGGGAAGGAGGCGGGGGGCAGGGGGGGAAGAGCATGACGACAAGGAGAACGACGTCGAGGACGGGGAGGATCAGTAGGACGAGGAGGGGGACTTTTAGGGAACACTTCCGTGGGTTAGCATTATGTATAGCAGTTGCTGTCACCGCGCGGGCCCAAGTCGCGCGCGGCCAACCTGCCAGTCAGAACGCGTGTTGCTTTCTGGGCGAAGGTGAACCATCCTCATTCTTTTCCATCTCCAGCATAGTAATGCCAATTAAATGTACCATATATTGTACTCTCGACTTGGTAGCGGAGCTGGCCTTACCCGCGTGTGGTTGGCTCCCGTACGTTGTGTGAGTGATTGCATACACCCAGCACCAATTCTCCAGGAGCGGACCTTGATTCAGGCGCTCGTAGACGCCCAGGCCACCCGACGACGTGTTGGTCCGATGGTTTGAAAGATCGAAGGCCTTGCGGCCACAGAGGAGGTAGGCGGAGACGCGCGAGGGGAGCAACGGTGGAGGCCCTGGGGCTAGTTTGGCGCCCTTTTGGAGCCGTCTTGAGACCGTCTTCGAAACCTCTTGGGTTATCTTGACGCTCTATTCGGCCGTCTTGTGGCCCATTTTGGGGGGCTCTGGGGACGTCTTGGGCCATCTTGGGGCTCTCTTGAGGCGTCTTGGCGCCCTCTTGGCCGTCTGGGCGATATCTTGTGGACGTCCTCGCCGCCGATCCTCCCCTTCCTCCTCGGCGAAGCCCCCCAGGCGCAAGGGGCGTGCCCCCCCCCCCCCTCTCGCCGCCGCCCAGCGCCTACGCGGGGCCGCAGGCTGGCTACCTGCAGCTGCACGAGGAGCTCAGCAAGGGCATACAGGACGGCAGTCGAGGAGGGCGAAGAAGAGGAGGCCCCGCCGCACCGTGTTGGCGGCGCGCAGAAGGGGGGCAAGGGGGAGGGGCGATGCTTCTTAGACGGAGGTTGGTTCTTAGAAGGCGCCGTCCCCACATCTGTAGACAAGGTCCGCGCCTTCCAAGAGCAGCCTCCTTCCAAGAAGCCTTCCCCGCTCCCCCTACCCCCCCCCCCGTGCGCGCCGCCAACCGTGACGCCTCCCTTCTCGTTTCCTCCTGCGCTCGCTCGGTCCCTCGGTCGCAGTCTCTTTGGACCCTTCCCTCCTGAGAGAGTGCACAACCGAGACTCCACGAAACAATGAAGATGCGCCTGTCTTCGATGCCCACGCGTGCCCGTCAGCACGAAGGAGGTATGGCTAAAAAGGGTCACGATACAATGGTTGTCTGCAGTTTGATGGCTACGCCTGCCCGAGCGGGGCCCAACTTAAGCACATGCTGCTAACTATCGTAGATACGCTAACGGCGATGTAGGTAATGGCAATGCATGTTTCGATATTGTAGGTGGGGGTGGTCCGTGGCCAACCCACTTTTAGGGAATGCTTAGTCGCGTTTTCATATCATTGGTTCTACGCGAGCTCGGCGTTCCAATGCCAGGTTCCAATCATCGCCGTTAATCAATATCGCCATTAGCGCGGCCTTGGAACTACAAGTCTCGTCAAACATATATTGGCATGCTTTTCAGAATCGAAGCGCTCGATTGTTTTGACGCTTGCCAGAAAACCTGCTCTTTAATGCTGTGAGGGCATTGCCGGATTTGGGACATTGCGTCTGGTCCAGTTATTTCTTTCCAGCGTTGAAGTAGTGCCGACCACACAAGCACCGAAACCAATAATTGTCAGTTCATTTCTCGGTCATCGAGTGCGCAACAAAACGTGGCTTGGCCGTCGGCTCAACCAACGGCCAGACCGAGCCTCTTTCCCCACGGCCCCTCCCTGCCCAACATACCGATGTGCGCAGGGGGGCGGGGCGACCATTGCACCTCCCTGAGGACAGAGGTCGCCAGCGTCCAGCGTCTAGGAGGAGGAGGACCAGTTCAAACCCAAGAGTCATCAACGATGATTGAATCCACCCTCCCCTCAAGCTCCCTCTTCGTAGGTCCCTATATAAGTGTTCATTTCCACTGAAGGATCTGCGCCGTTGGGGGACAACCGTATAGAATTATTGAAGGACACCAGTCTCAGGATTTCAAAGCCACGAGGTTCGAGATTTTGCGGTTATTCGTGATCCTCGTTGCCGGATCTGGTCATGAGGTGGTTTGTGCCTGCGCGGATGGTCCCCAGGGTGAGGTCCCCAGAGGCCTCCACTCTCTCCTCTTCCTTCGAGCTTGTGCTTGTTGCGGCCTTGTCGGTGAGGATTGACGCCAGTTCAGCTCCCTTCCTGCTGTTAGCTGAGGGAGGGAGAGTGGGAACTTCCTCGCATTTGTTACGCCCCCAAAAAGATCATGAGGTGAAAGTATTCAGAAGCAAAAGTCATCGCTGTTTTTGATGAACATAAAAGCCTGTTTCTTTATTGCTTGGGGCATGACGGGCGTCATGGCCCCCGCTCCCCCCTCCCCCCCCTATGACGTAACGCTCCCCCCCAGTGCGCTCCAGGCACTGCCGCCGTGCGCATTGGGATTCGCGTAGGTGTCCGCGTCGGAATCCGCATAGGTGTCTGCTCCGCAGGCGTCGTCGTCGTCGTCGTCGTCGTCGTCGTCGTCGTCGTCGTCGTCGTCCGTCGTCGTCGTCGCTCGTGGTTCGTCGCTCGTCGCTCATCGTCGTCGTGCGCGCGGACGCGGCTGGAGCCTGTTTTTAAGTCCGGGCCGATGACGGCAATCATCTGGGGGGGACGGGGTCGATGACGTCACGTTTCGCGCCGGCGGCGTTTGGGAATGCTTAGGAATGACGGAGGACGGGTAGCACGAACATGCACCACAACGCCTGTGTACATCACAGTGCCCGCGTGCACCACAGCGCCTGTGTACACCACGCCGCCGATGTACACCACAGCAGCCGCGTGCAACACAGCGTCAGTTTGTGCCATCGTGCCCGCGGGCACAGCAGCTCCTGTGTACACCACAGCGCCTCCGTACAACACATCAGCCGTGCGCAACACAGCACCAGTGTACACCACAATGCACGCGTGCATTGCAGTGCCTGTGTACGCCACGGCGCGTGCGTGCACCACATCAGCCGTGTGCAACACAGCACCACTGTTGTGTATAGAAGTTCAGAAAGAATCTTTGTGACGAAAGGGAGCGCGTGTGGATTCCACAGAAAACAATGGAAAACAAATCCTCATGGACGAAGGAGCGCCGCTGGAATCTACGAGTCACCCCAAGTCCGCCCGCATCACCCTAACTCCCATTTGCGTCCAGGAGGCTCCAGCTAAACTGGCCGTCCGAGAACCAAGTGGACCGATTCAATCGACGATTCTGCGATGCTCGCTGAGATGCGCACGTGCGTTGTAACGCCAAGCCGCACGACAGGGGGTAAGAAGGAGGAAAAGGAGGAAAAGGAGGAGGAGGAGGAGGAGGAGGAGGAGGAGGAGGAGGAAGTAGGAGAGGGGGAGGAGGAAAAAGGAGAGGAGAAAGAGGAGGAGGAGGAAAGGAGGTAGAGAGTAGGAAGGAAGGAAGGAGAGGTGGAGGTGGAGGAGGAGGGAGGAAAAACGTCGCATTCGATTATCAGAACCTTCCTGGCGTGGCGTTCAGTTGTCCGCAGCAGATCCTGTCGTACATGCTCTTTCTACCTGTCCTATGCACGCAGGCACTGTGGTGTAGACAGGCGCTGTGGCGTGCACAGGCGCTGCGGCGCACGCAAGCACAGTGGTGTACACAGGCGTTGTGTTGCACATGGGTGCTGCGGCGTATGTACGCCAGCGCTGTAGTGCTCCCAAGTATTGTGGTATACGCGGGCGGTGCGTTGCACACGGCTGTTGCGGTGTACGCAGGCGCTGTGGTGCACACGCGCTGTGTGGTGCACACGCGAGCGTTGTGGTGTACACAGGCGCAGTGGGCAGATCGCCACTTACATGCTGCTCGCGTCGTCGTCGTCGCTCGTCGCTTGTCGGTCGTCGCGTCGTGCGCGCGGGCGCCGCTGTGGTGCCGGACCCACACGGCGGGGGGGGGCGTCGCGTCATACCCCCCCCCGCCCTCCCCCCCCCCATGACGCCCGTCATCGCCGAACATAGAATAACGCGCTCTAAGGGGAACTGTGGGACACGGCGGTGAAGACAACACTTCATCAAAAATACAGAATATAGAACATCCTAAGATTAGTGCCGATTTCTGTGTGCCCCCCTGGGCCCCAGGGAACAGTGGAACGACAACACGGCGGGACGACGAAGAATTGCGACATAGTCACAGAGGTTTCTTCTCAGGGACAACGTTCCAGGTTCGAGGCTCGAGGTTTTCGGGTGTCTTCGCGTCGGTTCTCGGCGGGTTCCACCCTCGGGGTGCCTTCCAGCAGCGGCGCCTCTCCGATATAGCGTTCCAGGGTTGCCCGCATCGTCCCGAACGGCCGCCGCAGAGCGGTGTTATGGCCCGAAAGCAATGGGGCCGTCCTAGGGGGGCTTTGCTCAGGAGGTGATGCATCGACGACCCCCGATCGCCAATTGATCATTGGCCTGACAGCCCCACCCCGCCCAATCGCCGTCGTCTCGGCGTTGTATCGCCGATCCGAGCTCGATGTCCCCCCCCCGAGCTGCTTTACTCCCTCACCCATTTGACAACGTGGATCCCCAGAGTTGTGAAGCCCTTCCCCCTGAGTAGTTTTTCGACGGCCTCGGGGCCGGGCGATGGCCCCCGGAGGCCGACAGTAACAACAACCCGTCCGCCGTGTTTTTTTTGTTCACGCCGCGAGGGTGTTTTGGAACGTTGCCACTCCTCCCTCCTCCTCCTCCTCCCAGCCTGCCCCGCGTGGACAGAAGGACGTGGGCAGTGTCATCCTTTTCCTCCTGCCCGCCATGGGCGTCGTGGACAGCCGCCGGGGTCCCGTGAGGATGAGGAGGAAGAGGAGGAGCGGGGGGAGGAGGGGGGGAGGAGAAGGATGTTGATGGGGATGGTGATGGGGATGGTGATGGTGATGGTGTTGACGGTGGTGGTGATCATGGTATCGATGATGATGATGATGATGATGATGATGATGATGATGATGATGATGATGACGATGATGATGATGATGATGGTGGTGGTGGTGGTGGTGGTGGTGATGGTGATGGTGATGGTGATGGTGGTGGTGGTGGTGGTGATGGTGATGGTGATGGTGATGGTGATGATGATGATGATGAATATTAGGTTGATGATGATGATGACGATGGTGACGATGATGATGGTGATGATGATGGTGATGCTGATGCTGATGCTGATGCTGATGCTGATGCAGTTGGTGATGATGATGATGACGATGACGACGATGACGATGATGATGATGATGATGATGACGATGATGGTGATGGTGATGGTGACGATGATGATGATGATGATGATGATGATGATGATGATGATGATGTGATGATGATGCTGATGCTGATGCTGATGCTGATGCTGATGACCATGATGACCATGATGAGTGATGATGGTTAATGATGATGGTGATGGCGATGACGATAATGATGATGATGATGATGATGATGATGATGATGATGATGATGATGATGATGATGATGATGATCATAATGATGACGATGAAGATGATGATGATTGATGATGATATAGTATGTGATGATGACGACGATGACGGACGATGATGATGATGATGATGACGCTAAGACGATGATGAGATGATTATGATTGGGGGGACAAAAAAAATGGAAATTGATTGGATGATGATGATGATGATGATGATGATGATGATGATGATGATGATGATGATGATGATGATGATGATGATGATGATGATGTCCGAGGTCGCATGAGCTGCCAAGCGACAGCGGACGCTGTTCATGCGAGCAAAGCGGCGACGCACGGTCGTGGCTCGGGCAGTGCCGATCGACCGCTACCTGGAGGCCAGCGCTGTATCGCCGCGAGCGAGGGCTCAGTACCAGCGAGTGCTCGAGTAGATGAAGGTGAGGTGTGCACGCCAGGACTTTTTCGAGCTGCCGTCAGACGCGATGGTCGCCTGCCTGGTCCATTACTTCACCACCATCCACCTGCAGGGCGAACGGGCCTCCGCCGGCATGTGCGCGGCCGCCGCGGTGAACCACTTCCACCCGACGCACGGGCGGTTGCGAGCCGAGACGCTGCCGCGCATGTGGAAGGCGCTGAAGGGCTGGAATCGGATCGCACCTCGGCGAGCAAGGATGTCCGAGCCGCTGACCATATGGCGCCCCCTGATGCTCGCCTTGCTGCTGAGGGGTCAGCGCATGATGGCGGTGTTTCCAGCGCTTGCCGTCTCGACCTACTTGGGCCGTCGTCGCTCTTCAGGCTACGCCCTGCCGGCATCGTGAAGCCGTGCGCGGGCAGTCCACATTGGGGTCTCCTGATGCACCCTCAAGAGCGGGCCTTTCCCGACAAGGTTCGGGAGTTCGATCTGAACGCGAGGCTGGGCTCGTCGTGGCTGCGGTGGCTGGGCCCTCTCTTGGACGAGATGCAGAAGCTGGGCCTTCGCAAACGAGCGCGGTCCCTGGACTACCCCGCGCTGCTGCGCCAAATGAGGACACCTGCGACTCGTTGCAGCTGAGGCGGATCACGCCGTGCCACGCGCGGCACTCAGGCGCCGGCGTCGACCGCGCCAGCGGCGATTGCAGCAAGGCAGAATCGCAGCGCAGAGGCGGCTGGCGCCAGTTGAAGAACACGGCGCGCAACGAAAAGAGCGCCCTTTTCGGCCAGCGAGCTCAGGCGCGCAGCGCAAGGTCGCTTGCCTACGGGGGCCACTGCCCGCGCGAGCTGGAGCCCGTCTTGGCGCGGGGGCGCGCGGTGCCGCTGCCTGGAGGCATCCAGCCCTCGCAGCGCGGAGCACGGCGCTCTTGATCTGCGACCGCCTCGACGCCATCGGCTCGTGCTTGGCCGCGCAGGGTGCACCCGCCTGGATGTGGCGCGGCGGCGCGCTCAGTGATGAGCGGCTGGGTACGCCTCTGGAGCGCCGTCTGCTGTCGCGCGCTCGGCGCGAAGAGGCGGCCGCGCCGTTCGCGTCGCCGACGGCGGCGGGGGCGAGCAAGGCAACGAGCAAGCTGTTCTGTCGACGTCGGCTGCGTCGCTCTGCTGAGAGATTGGGCAGGCTTGCCTCCGCCGCCAGGCATGGAGATGCCGCACGGCAGCCGCTTATGATCATTCCTCGCACTTCAACTCGATGAGATCCCAGTGGATTTTGCGACAACTGTTGCGAGCGAGAGGTGCGTGTTTGGAGCCTGTGGAGGCACGGATGCATCTCCATGTTCATGTGGCTTTGAACCTGAGGATGTTGCTGGGCTTGTGCGCGCGTGCTTCAGTCGGACAGGCATCTGGTGTAAAACAGGCCTCCCGCAACTACACGTGCGAGGGATACGCAGTTGCGGAATTAGCCGCGCAGTGCCCGCTGCAAAAAGACCCGACCTTTTGAACTTTGCAATCGCTCGTTCCCTCCTGTCTCGCGCAAGAGCCTCCATCTACAATGTAACCCCCCTGTGCAGGGGACGGGGGGGCCCCGCGATGAAAGAGAGGTTTTAACTGGCAGGGCCTTGGTTGTCCTCGGAAAGGGGGCGCGATGATCGCAGCAAGGCGTCGCTGCCAGAGCTGAGTCTCGCTGGGCAAAACAGCGTATCATGGCGGTGCGCGCGCGGACGTGGTTAGCGGGGAATGGGGTGTCGTGTCCTTCGTGCGTTCAGGCATTATCTACTACCGCAAACCGTTCTGGTTCGCCCAGCACTCCCGTCCCTGGGCAGATGGCCCCGCGATAAAACAGTTGTTTGAACTGGCAGTGTTTTGGTTCTCGTCGGATGGGGGCCGCTCGCCCCCATCCCAGAGCTCTGGAGGAGCAGCTCGCTGATCGCAGCGAGGCATCGCTACCATAACTAGGTGATCCGCCGAACGAAACAGTGCACCATGATACTGATGATGCTGATGATGGTGATGATGTTGGTGGTGATGCTGAATGGTGGTGACGGTGATGAAGATGATGAGCATGATGGTGCTGCTGATGGTGATGAGGATTATGTTGATTATTTTGAGGATGCGGGTGGACACGATGATGCGTTTGATGGTGCTGGTGCAGGTGATGATACTGATGTGGATGAATATGATGATTGGGATGCTGATAGTGATGCTGATGTTAATGATGATGCTGATGCTGTTGATGATAATGGTGGCGATGCTGTTGATGATGGTGATTAGTAACCTCAGGAGCATCAGCCTCCACCCCCCGCTCTCCATGCAGGGATGTCGTGTGCGGAGGCGGCGTGGAGGAGGGAGGCCCCCCGTCGTCAGTGCCCCTTCTCCATTGGCTGTCTCTTCTCATCGTGACCGCCCGTCGTACCTTTTTGTTTCTCATTCCCACGCCTCCATTTTCTGATCGTGCTGCTTCTCCTCCTTGTCATCCTGATTCTGCCGATGGCCCCTCGCACTGTAGGCTCTTGGAGCGTTGCTGCCTTAGGGTCTATGTTCGGCCCCAGCCGCCATCTTGTCTGCCGCCGCTGCTGTTGCTGCTCCTCATGGTTTTTCTCCTCCTCCCCCTTCCTTTGATGCACAGATGCGCACATGCTCGCAAGTGTCCATACCTCATGCACAGCACCAGGAAGGACAACAGGTGCCGACTGTTGTACCCTGTGAGGCCTCCGAACAGAACGAGAGAACCTTCCTGGAGCGGAAAACGGTCCTGGCGGGCTCGACCAGCACTTTGCCTGAGCGGTTCTTCGCCCCAGGCCGCGGCGGGCACGCCGAGGGACCCCGCGCTGCGCAAGGACTTGGCGGCCGACGGCTGCAGGCATCGATGGGGCAGCGGCCGCACGGAGGGCCGCCACAGGCCACGAAACGTCCAAGGCCCCGATCATCACCAAGAGGGGGGAAAAGCACAGACACAGCCAAGTGTCCATGTGCACAAAACTGGAACGTGTCAAGCACATGTACAAACACATGGGGGCCCCTGGGACTTGCATCTATTGATTTGTGTGCCCCTGGGCCAATTGACACCAGTCCTCCCTCGATCCTCGGCCCTCGATGCTCAGGTGGGACGGCGAGCCGCGCGCGGCCCGGCGCCCCCTGTCTCGAAGCCGGCCCCTGGACCGCTCCCAGGGCCGAGTCGCCACGGGGGAAGCGGGTCCCGAGTCCTCGAGAAAGTTCTGGAAACCCACGCCCTCCCAGCCACAGTCACGCTCCACCGCCCGTGGGCGCGCGCGCTTTGAAGCACCTCCCCGCGACGAGCTGTGACCCCAGCTGCTGTCGGGATTCGGCGGGGCGCGCATCGAGGATCTGCCTGTATCTTGCGAGGGCGCACTTGGACGCAAGCGCGCAAGGCTCGCGGGGGCTCGGCGGCAGCTGCGGCGGGTGGCACGCTTCAGGGACCCCCTCGCGGGGCGGCGCCGCGGCGGGGCCACATCTGAAGATGGCCCTCTGCAGGCGAAGGCTCTGGGCCGTCTTGGGACCATCTTGGGCCGCCGCGGGGCTGTCGTGGGTCCTCCTGCGGGCTGCCTGGAGGCCCGTGTCGGGGCCTGCCGCTCACCGCTTCCCCTCTCCTGCGCCGCCCTTGGGTTCTCCTGGAGCTCCCACGGGGCGACCCCGGGGGCCCATGATGGGATCGGAGTGGATGGGGTCGGAGGCTCGCGCCGCATCGCCGAAGCATCGCCCATGCATCTGTGACGCATCGGCGATGTACCGGTGCCGTCGGCATGGAGATGATCGGGCTCCACATCAAGCCGCATCGCCCATGCATCGCCGATGCGTCGGCGATGCGGCGCGAACTTCCGACCCCGTCTACTCGGACCCCATCTGGGAGGCCTAGATTCCTGGGGTTCCCGAGGGCCGCGCCGCCAACCCCGATGCCTTTGCGGGCCCCCCGCGAAGGGGC